AACTCATTTCAGTACTGTTACCCAATAACATTCATTCCAGTGCTGTTACGCCATATCACTCATTCCAGTACTGTTACGCAATAACAGTCATTCTAGTACTGTTACACCATACCACGTATTCCAGTATTGTCACGCCATATCACTTATTCCAGTAATGTTACGCCATACCACTTATTCCAGTACTGTTACGCCATATCACTCATTCCAGTAATGTTACGCCATATCACTCATTCCAGTAATGTTACGCCATACCACTTATTCCAGTATTGTTACGCAATATCACTCATTCCAGTAATGTAACGCCATATCACTCATTCCAGTAATGTTACGCCATACCACTTATTCCAGTACTGTTACGCCATATCACTCATTCCAGTAATGTTACGCCATACCACTTATTCCAGTACTGTTACGCCATATCACTCATTCCAGTAATGTTACGCCATATCAGTCATTCCAGTATTGTTACGCCATATTAATCATTCCAGTATGTTACGTTAATCTTGCGCAAAACAACTGTAACTGACAATACATTGTAACTATGAATAGGAATGACTGACTGATTACATTTTTGAATTCAGCTAAGATAAGGGAATTTATAGCGAACATATTTACATTTTTGCTGTAATTGTTGCTCGATTCTCCTCACTTGTTAAAAAAATGCGTTCAGCCCACGTGTGACACGTGTGATCCAGGTATTTTGCTCATTACTCGCCAGTCTGTTGCATAAATTTAATGGTAGCATATGCTCAGTGATTTAAAATTTTCATTTTAAATAAATCCAAACTTTATTGAGTGAAAACAAAAAAATAAATTAGTAACCGTGGAAGCACGTGACACATTTCTGACATTGATAAGATACAATCACTTCATTAGGAGTCATTTCACACACAAAAAAAAACTGCGATAGAAATTCGACGCACTTCTTATCTACATTGATTACAATCTCCTGAAAATACGTAAACAAGGTTTAAATTTGTACTCAATGGTTGGACCATTATTTATGTACACACATAAACACATGTACAAACATAAACTTATCTAATCCAAGCTAATATAACTACTGCTAGTACTAGTTAATTTTAGTTGCATGGTGGTAAGTGTATATATGCTTTACAGATATATGCATAATGCGAGTATAGACGTCGAAATAAACAAATTCGCAATATGATCAAACCCGGCGTGCTTTTTGTCAGACACCAGGATTGGATATTGTGACATTTCGTTTCATAAACAAATTCGATATATATATATATTATATATCTGTCTATAACTTAACATCATATTTGTATATCCGGCGCCATTTTCTAGAAATTAGGCACAGCAGGCAGCAGAATTTTTTAGCAAATTATTGTTTGGGATTGGTTGCGAAAACGCGCATCGGAATTGAAGGACTGCTGTATTACAGTTTAAATAGATATGAAGTTATCTCTTACCTAATGAGCATAGAAGAATCAAGGCAAAACTTAGAAATATCACCAAGGCTACTAGCTGTCGAACGTTGAACGGCATCGTTGATTTCCCTTCTAAAATAATAGACAGACGTGCTGGGAATCCAATTTGATGGGGCTTAGCTTCTTAGTGACCAATTGGATTGTGTGCATATGCAATAATACAGATGGCGCGTCGACTATTATCAGTGTTGGCTTCTGTCTGTCGTCAATGGGGCGTAACGAATAGTAAATCATTCTCTAATATGCAAGTACTGGTTACGCGGTTGAGTTGTGTAATACTTGTTACGGGTGGAGGGAGCCCGTCAAAAAACTCTTCAAGAAAACAGTGTAGACAGAAATATAATTTGTTGGATTGAGATCAAGCCTATATGAGGTCTAAACAAGTTTATTATACACGTGTCGTAACTACTATATGTCCGGAGAAAATAACAAAATACTACGCTCATTTAATGAATAAGATATCGTGGGTTCCTCATTGCATATTCGGATTCTATTAGCGGTGAAAGTCAGGGAAAGTTCAGCGGCCTTTGGTGACTAAACGGCGCTTGTCAGAGTTTGTTTTGAAAATTTAATAGCAAAAAAATCAGCTCGCAGTCTTTTTGCGTGGAAAAATCCCTTGCATACGAAAACCGAATTACATAATAAACATGGATACTTTCCCGGGTATTTGAAACCGAAATTGTCATCTAACT